TGTCCAAGGCCACGGTCATGGGGTGAGGCTTGGGCGTGTCCAAGGCCACGGTCACGGGGAGGGGGTTTGGGCGTGTCCAAGGCCATGGCCGTGGGGAGGGGCTGAGCAATCCTTGTCATGGCGATAGCCAGAGTGAGGCCTGGTCGTGGAGACGGTCACAGCTGCAGACAACATCCTAGCCCAGGAACAAACTTGGCTACAGCAGAGTCTTGAAGTACCAGACATCTGCACAGAGAGGGAAGAACTCCGTCCTGGGAACCAGGAGGTGTGGCGGGGGGTCCCTCCCACCCTCTGTCTCTGTGACCAGACAAGCCACAGAGTCTCAGGGCTTCAACGTCAGCATCTGGCCAATGACCAGGTTCAAGACTTCTCAAAACCCTTCCAGTCAGAGCATTCCAGATTGATTTAACACAAAACATCCAACAGCCACACACTAAGGGTGGATTCAGCATGCCCCTATGTCTTTCCCTCCACCTGGTCCTTTGGGTGTGCTCCCCCAAACCCCACTCAGTCACACCTTGGTGGTCTTCAGCTCAGTCCCCGGGTGGACAGAGCATGGATTTGGCTAAGGGGGCTCACCTGCACGCCAGGTCCTGAGGGGAAATCTCCATTTCCCATAGCACCATCCGGATCAGCCGGAAAGGCCGGCACACGCTCCTGAATTTCTGCTTCCACGCGGCTCTGACCTTCACAGTGTTTGCCGGCGGCATCAACCGCACCAAGTACCCGATCCTGTGCCAGGCGGTGAGTGCTGCCCGTGTCCTCGTTTTGTTACAAGATGTGAAGTGTTTATCTGCCCTGCTTCCAAAGGGGAAATCTGTGATCATTGTCTTGTTTATGAAATAACACCGGAGTATTTGTCCCGATGCATCTCCCAGAGGGAACCATTCAACGTCCTGGGCGCCTATACCATGGCCTCTCCCTCATGTGAGGCCCATTGTTTCGCTCAGCACTGGATCCTGTCAGAGAATTTGTTTTCCACTTGACCAGCTAACTGGACGTTCACTGTCCGGCAAACGGTGCTGGTCCCGGGAATAGGGGTGGGAGCTGCCCTCCCACAGAGACTGGTAGGGCAGGAGCATGGAGATGGGGCCACCTGCTGCCCCACCCCTGGCCAGGTAAGAATCCACAGATGCTGATGCCAAGGCTCTGGCACCAGCAAGTGGCCAGGGAGTCCTGGCCACAGAGGCCCAGCCCCCACGTGGAACCGCGGCAGACCTCACGACCTCACTCTGGAAGGTTCTGCTCCCCTCTCAGGTAAAAGAGGGGCTTCAGAGCATCGCAGCATTGAGAACAAGTCACCAAAGGGTCTTCTTCCCTCCCTGTGGCCTCACCTGGCTTTTTTTTAAAAAGGGGGAACTACCCATTGGTTCTGACAGAGCTCAGAAGAGGCCATTCCCCCAGTGGTCAGCCTGGTTCCCTGTTTTACCGAGTGTGGCCCAGGCCCAGGAGAGGAGGCTCCAAACCCAAGTTTCTCCACGCACTCCTCCAGCTCCTTGCCCAGCCCCCCTGCTCATTCATGGCCCCAGCTCAGCCCAGCTGGACAGTGACCTCTATGTGAACAGTGACGTCCAGGTAGAGTTTCCTCCAATGCGAACAGTGGCCTCCAGGGTGGACAGTCTCCTCCAGATGGACAGTGACCCCCAGGTGAATAGTCCCCTCCAGATAGACAGTGACCTCCAAGGTGGACAGTCCCCTCCAGATGGACAGTGACTTCCAGAGTCGACAGTGATCTCCAGGCAAACGGTCCCTTCCAGATGGACAGTGACCTCCAGGTGAATGGTCCCCTCTAGATGAACAGTGACCTTCAGGTGCACGGTCCCCTCCAGTGCCCAGGCAGGAGCTGGATAGGGGCTGCCCCATGGACTGAAGAGCATCTTACCAAGGACTCACCTCTTGGGTTTCTGCCATTGGGGGTGTGTGACTGCCTGGGCCACATGGAGTGAGGCTCTTGACCTGGCGTCCACGAGCTGTCATGTTGCTCCCTTACAGCCTTTGTTCTGTGAATTCAACATTTATTGATGGCTGTGGGAGCCGCCGGGGCCTAATTACCTGACACTCGGGGGCACCAGCACTGACCTTGATTACAAGATGACCTGTCTCCTGCACAGATGGCGGACGACTCCCCCCGGGTGAGAGGCTGCTCCTGCAGGGGGGCCCTCAGGAAGAACCGGGCGGTGAGATCCTGCTCCGGAGCCCTGGCACCGGCAGGCCGGCATGCTTGCCCTAAAAACCGGGAACTTTCCCCGTGCTCCAGCCCCGATGGGGACTCCTGGCGGCCGGGTGTCCTCACAGCATCTGAGGCCCAGCCGGTTAGCCGGGTAGACACCCTAGCAACGGCACAGGCCTGGGCAGGTCCAGAGAGGCAAGGTCTATAGAGATGACATTAGTATGAGATATGGTTGATTGTCTTGTGGTGACAACCCTCAGGCCCCCCGTTGGAGGGGCCAGTCGATGAGCTCTGGAGTAGGTGCCACCCTGACCTCCCAACTACATCTCCACAAGGTGGCAGGGGCATGACTCCTTCACTCATTCATTTGCAAGCATGCATCGGGCCCTGACCCACCTTAGGGAGCAAAGCCACTCGAGCCCTGGCTGGGCTGTCCTGCTCTCCAGCAGGCAAAAGGAGGGACAGAGGACCATGTGCTGAGGCCCAGGTGAGGGAATGGGGGGCCGGCCAGCCCTCAGGGTCACTCTCCCTGGGACTCCCCCGACGTTTCTGGAATGCAGGCGTGTGCTTTGCAGACACTGACAGAGCGTCGGTTACTATTACGGAGGCTACTCCTAGCTCACCCAGCATGCCCGGCTCTGCCCACTACTCGCTGGAGAGGAGTCAGGCCCGAGGAGGTGCAGCTGGACCACCAGGGCATCAGAAGAAGGGATAGTGAGCTTTAATGTGTTGATGTGACTGGTCATGGGGCCAACATCTGGTCAGACATCACTCTGGGGGCGTGTGTGCTGGTGCCCTCCCCATTGTGGGGCTCGTCCACTCCCCTGGGGGCCTAGGGACAATGGCAGAGGAGGGAGGGATGCTCTCTGCCTGTCCAGGATGGGACATCAGTGTCCAGCCCCTGGACTCAGCTCTCCTGGGCTTCCGGCTTACCCACCACAGATATCAGACATCTCAGCTCCCACATCTCTGTGAGCCAATTCATCCTAGCAAACGTGGTTTTCCCCTGGTGGGCAACTAGGCCTGCCCCGCCCTGACAAGGGACAACTCACCAACACCCTGGCGCCTGAACACGGGATGCCCTGGACCACTTCCCCTGTCCAAGTGTGGCTCGGACTCAGGGTAAGATGATGCACAGCACGTGGCCCGGAGGTCTGGTCGGCTGGAGAACAGATGGTTGCTGTGGCAACAAGATGACCGGGAGTCTCATTAAGGTCCTAAGTGACATCATGAACACAAAGAGCCGGACACTGGTGGTCCCCCATGATAATGTGAGGCAGCGGCAGCGCTGGCCCTGGGTCGGCTGTGTGACGGCCAGTGGCTGCCTCCTTCCCAGAATGGCCGCAGTGTGGTCTGGCAGCCAGGGCGGGGTCCCTATGACCTCTCCCTGTGTCCAGCCTAGAGGGGGTGTCTAGGAGGCAGAACACCATCCGGGAGAGGCTCCGAGCAGCCGGACAGCCGCGGAACCAGCGCCCCCACCCCGACCCCGAAGGTCCTCTGAGGACTTCCGACTGTTCCTGTTCTTCAGTGACGGCAGCCACACTGCTGTCCCTGAACAGAGAGACTGACCACCCTTCCATCGAGGGCCAGGCAGACGTGGCCCCTTTCTCTCTCTGGTTCAGGTGCAGAGGGTGCTCACCCCCCAGCTCCCCGGCCAGGCTGAGGAAAAGGTTGGGCTTGCCACGTGCGTGCAGCGAGCCCACCTGAAACCACAGACAGCTCTGGGGTTCCCACCCCACCCACCCCGTTCTCATCGATTATTCTTTTTTTTTAAGATTTTATTTATTTATTTGAGAGAGAGAATGAGAGAGAGAGAGCATGAGAGGGGGGGGGGGTCAGAGGGAGAAGCAGACTCCCTGCTGAGCAGGGAGCCCGACGCGGGACTCGATCCCGGGACTCCAGGATCATGACCCGAGCCGAAGGCAGTCGCCCAACCGACTGAGCCACCCAGGCGCCCCTCATCGATTATTCTAGAGCTTTCTAAGAAGTGAAAATTGAACTCTGGATTTGATAAATCATTATAATGCAATGTTAGCTTTATTCAGAGAATCTCTGTATTCCTTAAACATCTATGCCTTTTCCAATTACAGCCGTAATTTACTTGTCTTTGTGAAATGTCAGGTTATTGCTTCATAGGTAACCAGGTGGAGACCAAGGAGGGGAAAGCATCATTAGCTAAGGAAGTAAGTGCAGCCAGGGACCAACTTGGGCAGCTGCTGATAGCAATGAGCAGCTCGGCCTTGTGGGGAGTGGACTTCAGCCTCTGATCCTGAAAGTGTTTTATGTCATACACACCCCCCAACACCAGCCTAGTGGGGAGACCCCACTGCAGGACCGCCCTGCCCTTCACTTGGTGACAACTGTGTGGGGCCGAGCCCAGAGGAAGTCCTCCCTGGAGCCCTTAGGGTCCCACGTCTGGGCCACGCTGACCCTAGGTACATGTGCACAGGCCCATGTGTAGGCACGGTGTGCATGCTGCTGAGGGGCACGTATATGGTCAGCCTCACGTGGACCGCCCCAGGGCTATTGTGTGCACAGGCCCATGTGCTCCCCGGCACCATCTCTCCAGAGGACAGCAAAGCTAACCAGTGCCAGAGCCTTTGCTGCCTACATACCTCCCTGTGAAGGGGGACATCTGCCCTGAGTGGGGACCCCACATGCCCTCCTGCTGGTCTCATTCCCTGTCACTATCGAGCTGCCTCCTGAAAAAGCAAAAGGAGAGGGAGGGCTCAGACCCAGGCCTTGGGGAACTCGCAGTGTCCAAAGGCAGCACACCGGGGGAGATGACCCATGGAGGTGTAGCTGAGCAGCTTCTCCCCGCAGGTGGGCATCCTGCTGCACTACTCCACACTGACCACGATGCTGTGGATCGGGGTGACCGCCAGGAACATCTACAAGCAGGTGACCAAGAAGGCCCCACCGTGCCCGAGCGCAGACCAACCGCCATACCCCAAGCAGCCCCTGCTCAGGTACCCGAGCACACACGTGCCTGGCCACCCGTCCACCACACCGGTTCTGGGCTACCTTCCGGGGGTCTCACCAAACTGGTTCACAGGGAAACTTGGGGTCCAAGGACGAGCCAACCTGCACAGGTGGCCAGGGTTGGGGCGGGGCACTGAGGGCAGGGTGGGGTGCCAGAGATGGGATGTCGGGGTGCTCGGGTAGAGCGGTGTGCTGGGGGCTGGAGCCACAGGTGAGGGGGCCAGAGTGCCCCTCTGCCTGCTGGGCGCGTCTCTTTGTGACTGAGCTCCACACCACAAGGGGCTACAGTGGAGACAGCTCTGGGCGGTGGATCCGTGCTCCGGCCTTGGCTGCGGTTCATTCGTGGGTCTCACTGAGCTGAGGCACCTACTCATTAGCTGGGAGAAACTGAGGCGGTTCAGTCACCAATCCCAAGGTGGCCACGTGGCCTGGGCCTTTCAAGGCTGGGTGGCAGGTGGGTTTGGAGACTGTTACTTGGTCAAGCTGGGAGGGTTCAGAGTGAGCAGGTGGTCCCTGTGAGGGGCAGATGATGCCACTATTAGGCTGTGGCCTGGGCCCTGGGTCATGGACACGCAGGCCCTTGGACTGAACTCTGTCCAGGTCCAAATTTGAAGGGCCATCAGGGAATACCTCAGTGCACCTAAAACTCATCAGAAGAACTCATTTTGAGGCAGATAAAACAATGCCCTGTGTTGTTTAATAAATAAGGTGACCTACACCAGAGGTATTTCTGACCCTGAGTTTCTGGAGCTAGCAGACCCGTTGCCACACACCTAGCAGGGCCCATGGCACTCTGCTGACGTGGGCCAGGGAGGCGGGGTGTCCATACCTCGTTCTTCTTGCCAGGGAGGCCCTGTTCCCTAGGGTTTAAGAATCACTCTCAGAATGAATGTCCTGGTCTGTAATTGGTTGAAAAGCTGCCTGGCTTTTTGAAGAATGACATGGCAGCTGCAGAATATTCTGGAGCCTTCTTCCCTGATGGTGTCACATGCGCATAATGAACCAGACTCCCAGGTGCCTTAGGGAGCAGTGGGCCCCGGGCCTCAGAGGGCATGTGTCCCAAGGGCTATGGGCTCTGTGGGCATGTGCCCCATGGGCTGTGGGCTCCATGGACATGTGCCCCATGGGCTGAAGCCCAATGGGCATGTGCCCCATGGGCTGTGGGCTCCAGGCTCCATGGGCCTGTGTCCCGTGGGCTCCGTGGGCATGTGTCCTGTGGGCTGTGGGCTCCATGGGCATGTGCCCCGTGGGCTTTGGGCTCCATGGGCGTGTGTCCCTTGGGCTGTGGGCTCCATGGGCATGTGCACCTAAAACTCGTCAGTGGGCTGTGGCCTCCAGGCTCCGTGGGTCTGTGTCCTGTGGGCTGTGGGCTTCATGAGCATGTGTCCTGTGGGCTGTGGGCTCTGTGGGCACGTGCCCCATGGGCTGTGTGCCCCGTGGACATGTGCCCCGTGGGCTGTGGCCTCATGGGCATGTGTCCCTTGGGGTGTGGTCTCCAGGCTCCGTAGGTATGTGTTCCGTGGGCTGTGGCTTCATGGGCATGTGTCCTGTGGGCTCCATGGGTATGTGTTCCATGGGCTATGGGCTCTGTGGGCATGTGTCCCTTAGGCTGTGGGCTCCATGGGCATATGCACCTAAAACTCGTCAGTGGCTGTCCTGTGGGCTGTGGGCTCCAGGCTCCATGGGCCTGTGTCCTGTGGGCTGTGGGCTCTATGGGCATGTGTCCCGTGGGCTGTGGGCTCCGTGGGCTCCGTGGGCATGTGTCCTGC